CCTCTTCCGCCTCCCCCCTGCCGCCTGCAAGGCAGGCGTGGCCAGGCGGCAGCCTCAGCCGGGCCCTGCCACATCCACAGACGGACGTCCCTTCAGCGCAGCTTCACCCAGCAGGCGGCGCACCTCGTCGCCTGCCCGCCTGCTTGGCGCCGCGCCCCGCGGGCCTGCCGTCGTCCCTGCCGCCGCCGCCGCCAATGGTGGGGGAGCGGTGCGTCAGCAGGGGCGTGAAGGCGGCCGCACCCAGCTCCGCGCACTTCTCCACCAGCCAGTCTGAGCGGCCGCCCTTGAGGGAGCCGCAGGCGCACGCCACCCGCCACTGCCAGCCCACCGCGGGCACCAGCTGCGCGGCATCCAGCACCTGTGCCACCGCCCCCGCCCTGTCCACCCCCCCCATCTCGGCCAGCGCCACAAAGCCGCTGCCGTCACACAGCTCGATGCGGTCGCCCTGGCGCAGGCGCAGCGTCTTGGCGGCGTGCCGGCTCTCCTCGGCCGGCAGGCGCAGCACGGCGCCTGGAGCCGCGTCGGCCAGGCGGGCAGGGATGTAGAAGCGCGGCGGGCGTGGCGCTGAGGTCGGCTGCAGGTGGCGAGCGAGGAGGTGGTGGTGGTGGGCAGGCTGGGAACGACTGGCTGAGCGGAGCACCCCCGGTCCGCCGCCGGCGGCAGACACCGGCATGCGGCCTCTGCCTGCCCGCAGCTGCTCATGGTATCGCCAATGAAAGGACAGCGCCACCCACCGATTCGGCAGAGCTGCAGAAGCAGGCTACAGCCCTGCGCAGGGGAGGATGGCGGGCAGCATTTCGGGCTAGTGGCTGGCGCCACGCTCCAGCAAGCGAGGCCGCCATGTTTGAAGAGTGCACAAGGTCCAAGGCAACCCCAAGTCATGGCCTGCTCTCCGAGTACGGCGGCGTGTACATCAGGTGGGGAGCTCTTAGAGGCAGCGCAGCGCGCCCCCGGCCTCCAGCACCCGTCCCCCCTTCAGAAACTGTATCCATACCTCAACCCGCGTCCTTTAGCCCCTGCTAGCCACTGTTGGCTGGCCACGCTTGGGGGCTCCCCTCCACCTGTGTTATGTACGTGTCTGTAGCCTAGCGAACCATACAAGGACCCAGCAGCGAACAGGTGCCCTGCGAGCTAGCACGGTGAGAGGCGAAGCAAACCCTCTTCTGTCCTCGCGTTGCCACCAGCGCGCCGCTGATTGCAGCGCCCAGCCACCCCTGGGGAGCCACCACAGAGGGTAGCGGCGCCCGTGGGGCCTTTCAGCGCGCTCTGGCTCTGAACAGTGGAAGGGTGGCAGCCTGGTGCCAGACTGCAGACCCCCGGCCGTGGGCCCGCTGCCCCAGGCGCCGGCTGGCTGCTCCGGCGGCCCTCCTGCGCAGCGGGCGGGGCTTGGACCCCGCCTGCCACCACAGGGCCCTCCAATCCTGCGTTTCCCGTGCCCACAATGGCTGACCGCCTGCCCGCCATGATCCCCCCGCGCAGGTGCCCATGCTCTCCTCGGCTGCGGCGCAGCCGCCCCCAGGCACCGCCTCGCAGGCGCAAGGCCTGCTGGGCGGCGCCGGCAGCGGCGCGGACGCCCTGGCCGCGCAGCTGAGCGACTTTGGGCGCTCCGGCAGCAGCGGCGGTCTCATGTCGCAGGCGCCGCCCACGCAGCTGCAGCTGCAGCAGGAGCTGCTGGGCGGGCCGTCCACCGGGCCCAGCCCCGCGGGCTCCCTGTCCAACACGCCGCGCACGCTGAGCAGCGCGCTGAGCGGCGCGCCGCCCCCCGATGCCTCGGGCAAGGGCTGGTCCAGCCTGGACGGCATGCCACGCCCCAACTGGCAGCAGCTGGGCGGCGCGGGGTCCAACCCATCCGACGCCATCCTGCAGCAGCAGCAGCAGCAGCAGGGCGGCGCGGCGTACGGCGGCGCCGCCGCCATCCAGCGCCCGCCCTCCACCGGCCCCTCCAACCCCCTCTCCTCCAGCTACGACGGCGGCGGCGGCCTGTCCCGCGGCAGCTCCGTCACCTCCCCCAACCCGCTGGCCGGGCTGAGCCACCTGCAGGGGCTGCAGGCGCAGCAGGCGCAGCGCATGCCCTCGGGCCCCCTGCCCAACGGCCTGCCCGGCAACGCCGCCCAGCAACACCTGCTGCAGCAGCACCTGGCCCAGCAGCAGCAGCAGCAGCAGCAGCAGCAGCGCGCGCAGGGCATGCAGGGCCAGGGCGGATACGGCCAGGGGCAGCAGCAGTCGCAGGCGGCCTCTCTGGCCAACCTGCAGGCGGCGGCGCAGGCCGCGCAGGCCGCGCAGGCGGCCGCCATCCGCCAGCAGGCCATGCTGCGCAACGTGAGGGCCGCCTGCCCGCCTGCCCTGCCGCTGCACGCCACTGCTGCCCTTCGCGACACCCCGCTGCCTTCCCTGCCCCATGTGCGCTCCCCATGCTGCCTGCTGACGCCGCCTGCCGGCCGCCCCGCTTCTGCCCACCTGCCCCTCCCCGCAGACTCTGCAGGGCCAGCAGCAGGGCAACCTGGGCGGCCTGTCCAGCCAGAACGCGGCGCTGCTGCAGCACGCGCTGATGCAGCAGCAGCAGCAGCAGGCGGCGGCGGGCAGCCTGCTGCAGCAGCAGCAGAACGCGGCGCTGCTGCAGCAGCAGCAAAACCTGCTCAACCAGGCCTCGGCGCTGAGCCGCGCCGCGCAGGGTCTCACCGCCTCCCAGCAGAACCAGCTGCTGCAGGGTCAGCTGAACAACCTGGCGCTGCAGCAG